AAGAGGAAAAGAAAAAGGATTTACACATCTGTATTTCATATTGGAACAGGTCTATGTGCTCCCATAAAGTCCCTGAAATAATCATTTTTTAAACAGCATCATTGAATCATTGATGTGTGAAAATGGTAATACTGACTCAGTAACAAAGATTCAATTACATTCCACATGGTTCATTCTTCATTAAGAAGAAGAAAAAAAATGCAATCCATTGTAGAAAAAAAATTTCCATCGAAGTAATGGTTTTTAAGTTTGATATTTGGAGATTAATAATGTAGCCAAATTCCTACTGAACAATTCCATTCAGTTGCCTAGTAGATGTCTAAAATTCAACATGTCTAAAATAAACTCAATGTCCACCCTCAACTCATCTACTTCTACACTTTTCCCCCTCTCAGAAAACAGAACCAAAGAATGCCCTCAAGAAACTCAAGACTCTTTCTTGACACTCCCATTATCTCACACCTGCCAGAGCCAGTCACGTATCCAGCACCCGTATCTCAAATACCTCTTCATTTTACCCACTTCCATCACAATTCCTCTGCCCCAAGTAGGCATACCTGCCTACAGAGAATTCATGGGACACTACCACAGCATCCTACCCAGCCTCCTTAAAGAGACTGCTGCTTCTCCAATCCATTCTCCACACTGAATCCATCCATAGTGATCTTCCCATAACACTAATGTGATCATGTCTGCTCTGTCTTTTAAATACGTTCAGTGGCTTCTCAATTTTTAAATCCAATCAGTGGCTTTTATTCATTTAATTATCCATGTAATATAATGTAATAGACACACCAAAACCATATGAAAAACAAATATAGGGACACTACCAATGCCCCAGATTTAGTCAAAATGTCCATTCCCCATCTCATGCACCTGCCTCACCCAACACATGAAAATAAACATCCTAAATCCCATTATCATAATTAATCTTGCTTGCTTTATAGTCTTGTTGCATCGCTACATATTCTTAAAATGTATATTTTTTAATTTTAGTTAGTTTGCATGTTATTTATCATCTTTGAGGGATATAACTTACTATTATTCTACCAAAATTCATTCATAGATTCATTTTAACTAGTATATACTATTCTCTTACATTGATTTATCACAGTTCATTCATTAGCTTCCCACTGATAGATCTATGAGTTATTTTCAGGTTTTTTCTTTTTAAAGATTTTATTTATTTATTTTACAGAGAGAGCTCACAAGTAGGCAGAGAGGCAGGCAGAGAGAGAGAGGGAAGCAGACTCCCTGCTGAGCAGAAAGCCCGATGCGGGGCTGGATCCCAGGACCCTGGGATCACAACCTGAGCTGAAGGCAGAGGCTTTAACCCACTGAGCCACCCAGGTGCCCCTCAGCTTTTATTTTTATGAACAGTAGTACTATGAGAGATTTGTCTATGTGGAAGAATCCTGAGCATATGACTATGAGTGACGGGTTATATATGAATGTTCAGATTTCAGAAATAATGAATTGTTATCTGAAGTTATTATAAAAATGTGGAGATGGGGGTACCTGGGTAGCTCAGTCAGTTAAGTGATTGACTCTTGGTTTCATATCAAGTTGTGACCTCTGGGTCATTGATCCCCTGCTCTGGACTTTCTCTCCTTTTCCCTCTGCCCCTCCCCCATCCTCCTCACTCACCCACACACGCTCTCTCTCTCTCTTTCAAATAAATAAATAATAAATAAATAAATAAATCCTTATAATTGGTATTATCAGCCAATTTAATTTTTGACAATTGAATGAATATAAATATGTCATTACAGCCTTGGTCTATGTTTCCCTGATCAAAATTGAGGTTAAATATTTTTTCATAAGTTTTTGTTGCTGTATGTTTCGTTTTCTAAGACATGTCTATTCAATCCTGTCACCCATGTTTTCCTATTGGGTTATTTGCACTTTCCTTGTTAATAATAGTGTGTGTGTGTGTGTGTGTGTGTATTATATATATCTCAGTTGCACGATCTTTTTTTTTTTAAAGATTTTTATTTATTTATTTCACAGAGAGAGAGAGAGATCACAAGTAGGCAGAGAGGGAGGGAGAAGCAGACTCCCTGCTGAGCAGAGAGACCGATGCAGGGCTCGATCCCAGGACCCTGAGATCACGACCCGAGCCGAAGGCAGAAGCTTAACCCACTGAGCCACCCAGTGCCCCAATGATCTTTTAACATCTACAGTTTGTAACTTCTCTTTTAAGGTATATTTTAGTGAAACAACTTTCTCAATTTTCATATAGTCAAATAGACAAATTTATTTATATTTTCTTTTATGGTCAATGTTTTTTGTGTAGTGTTTTAGAATTTTTCCTTAATTCAAGGTCTTATAAATGCCTAAATTATTTTCACTAAAAGTTTTAGTTTTATTGTTGACATTAATAAATCCTAAGTTTATCTTGGTTCATGACATGAGTTGGGCATCCAATTTCATGTTTTCCACATAGATTGCCATCTTATTTTCAAATCCATTAATTAAAGAGCCCTCTCTCCTCCACTGATCTGTGGTGCTCTTGTCATATTTTGAATGTCCAAAAATTTGGTCTAAGTCTACTTCTATAGTCTCTATGCTATTCCATTAGGGCAATTTGGCTCCCCCTTGTGATCCCTTGTACCAATACTACAGTCTTAATTACTCTAATAAGAGTTCTGCATTTTTCTCATTCAGAAGTATCCTATAATCTCTGTTATTTCATAAGAATTCTAGTACCTTCCTTTCCTTTGCTCATCACTGGGCTATTTTCTTTTCTTTTCCTTTCCTTTCTTTTATTTTTTGAAATATAGCTGACATAGAACATTATGTAGGTTTAAGATGTACCAAGTGTTGATTCAATAGGCACGTAAATAATTGACGAATTCATAAATAAATGAATAAACGTGTCTCAAAAATTAATTCATAGTGTATGCCAGTAGTGGGTACTTAACATTGCTTAAAATTTAGTATTAAAAAGGATCTGAGAAACCACCTAGTCCAAATCCTTTTTTTTTTTTAAATAATGGGGACACATAAGTCCAGAAGCATCAACTTGTTTGAAGTCAAAAAGCTTGTTTTTAGCATGTGCAGAACATGAAATTTTTAGTCAAGTATAGTTTGTACAGCACTGTTCGCCTGTAAATAAAATATCATTTTAAATATGTGGCACGATTCCTAAATAAAGTAAGATTCTAAAATAAGAAGTAACAATAGAAAATAAACTTAAAACCCTAAAGTCTATTTCCATTTATTCAAGACAAATATTAATGTACAACATTAAACAAGTCTCAAAAATACAGAGAATGTAGTTTAGTTTTACAACTTAAGTATGAGGAAAAATTACTACTTTTGCCTTGCATCATTAAACTTCACATTTTGAGATTTAAGACTGAGCATTAAGGGCTTAAATCAGCAAAGCTGTACATTTTTTGGTACTCACAGAATAAGCTGTCATAGTTTTGCTGAATCAGATTATGACATTTTTTGTGACCAATCTAGATGTCCCTATTCAACAAATGACAAAGAGATCATTCCAAACTGATGAGATCCATCAAAACACACTTCCACTTTCGGCCAACCAGTAGCTCAACTGATTCAACAAAGAAGCAGAGAAGGCGGATTTTTTTCTGGGATTTTAACCAAAGATCAGCATATCAATCCCCATGTTCATTTATCAAAAATTGATAGCCTCATTAATCTTTGAATAATTCTAGTATAAAGGCATAAAATATGCACATAAACTACCTAAATGGGTCTAGGCACTGTCACTTCCAAAGCACTTTCTCTCCATTTTTTGTGCTAGTCAAAAAAATTACAGTGAGAGAAACTCATTTTGGAAAAGAATAGTCAGAATGTCTCCAACTGAGCAAAAGCATTATTGCAATCTAAAGTGAAAAAAAAGTTCAAAATACTCTTACCAAAAACTAACTTTTGGAAATGATCTCCTGTGTTTCCTAACCCTCATATAACCAAATAGTAACAATAAAATTGTTTATTCACATATTTTGATTAATAATCTCAAAAATATGTCACATTAAAAGCTAACTACATCCATTAAGCAAATGCAAAACTCAAGTCAATAATTTAGATTTACTTTTCTAAAAGGTACAAACATTCGAAATGGGATTGAAAGCCTACCTTTTATCATATTTATAAAGAATTTGCTAAGCAGAGAATTACTGTAAACTAGATTTCAAGAAAACCAATGTTTAAGGCAATGATAATAAATCTAATTTCAAGCGTCCTATATACATTAGAAGCACTCCTATACTAGGAGTATTATGGAAACTTTTTAATGAATCTAAAAGTCAACAAAAAGCATAGAGAAAATTATTTGGAATAACTGCAGAAAATGAATCCCTATGGCTTGACTTAATAAATCACCTTTTATAAAAATCATTGTTTCTTATGTAGTCACTGAAACTGGTCCCTAAAGAAGGGAAAAATCAAAAGGAAACTGATTCCTTCCTAAAGAAGGAAATACTACATTAAAGTGACTTTATCATGTACTTGAAATTATGGGGCAACGACTTGGTGCCCGCAGATCCAATCTGGCCATCAATATGTGTTTTGTTTAAAAAGTTGTTTGTTCATTTATTATTTTTAGAAGTCTGTAAGGGTGTCATGTGTCCTTACATTTTGTTACAATCCCCACCATCTCACTTTAGTAGTTTTTCCCTTTTATGTTATGTGCTTAGCCTCTAAGGGCTTTTGCTTCTGGAAGCCTAAATTTTAAATTCTGTCCAATTTGAATGTTCACTACTCTGTTCTTTCCACACAGTCACAGAACATTGGAATTATTAGAATTGGAGGGTACCTTAGAGGTTAGCTAACTCGTCTCATTTCTTCCAACAAGACCCCTGAGGCCGGGCAAGTAAAGTAGCTTTCCCATGGGTAATGTACATTAATAGTTCTGCCAAAATGCTCTTCTAACTCAACAGCTTACAAAATCCCTATTTCGCAGTTTCGTCAAGAGTCACCACAACTCTCATCTTTATAAAAGCAACATTTGCTTCAGAAGCACTTACCCCTGAGTGCAGGTAGCAGGGATCTCTCCTTCTTGTCATCACATTTGTTACATTCACTGAAGTACAGAAGTAAGAAGACGTCAACAAACACCCACATCAGGGAAGTGGCCAGAACCACCTTGCAGTAAACAAACCTCCTCATGTCTTCTTTTGATTTCTAGTTAACACACAGATCGAAGACAGATGCTACAGTGATAACTCCACGCCACAGGGGTGAACTCCAAGATAAAAGCAGGATGCATCCCACTGTATTAAAAAAAGAAGGAGGAGGAAAAGAAAATTTCATTATTGCATAGTTTGTTGTCCATATAAAGGAAATATAACATGAAATATATGATTTATTTAATGTCTCCATACATACATATCAGCACTCAGCCTTCAAATTCAGAATGAAAAGCCTAAATAAATGAAAACTGTAAGTAAGACAGGTGGCTAAAATTCTAACAGCTAATCCTGGAGCTGTCACTACTCTGCCGGGCGCACGACAACTATCTGATTTCTTCAGGTTGTATTCTTTTCTTCAAAAGCCCTATGATGATGACAGCAGAGCACCAAGCTGTCACACAGAGCAACCCCGAATTTACCCTGATTCAGCACTTTTGAGGAGCCAATACTGCTGAAATAGAAATCATCCTGGAATACAATATATTAATAGTAGTTAAAAACTACCTTTATACACAGACAGGCCTGTGTTTAGTGACCTCTTATCTGTGTGATCCTTTAAAAAAATTTTTTTAAAGATTTATTTACTTATTTGAGAGGAAGAGCACAAGCAGGAGGGGCAGAGGGAAAGGGAGAAGATCTCAAGCAGACTCCGTGCTGAGCACAGAGCCGGATGCAGGGCTCGACCTCACCACCCCGAGATCACGACCTGAGCCAAAACCACAAGTCGGACACTTAACCGACCATGCCCTCCATGGGCTCCTCTGTGGGACCCTTTTAAGCCTCTGTTTCCTCATCTATAAAATGAGAGTAACAAGGCCAAACCTAAAGATTGTTATGAGGACTAACCACAATAATGCTTGTAAAGTATCTTGCAAAACAGATAATTATTAATATTAGCATACAAAACAAAAATTCTTGAATTCTCAAGAAGGACCATTACATGAAATTAGTCATCAGTTACATAGCCTTAAAAACCCCATCTGGATTGCACAGAAAGTATCCACAACAAATGTATATTTTAGAAAGGATCGTGTATGTTCAAAAAAATTATCAGAGGGGAAACAAAATACTAGTTTAAAGTGACTTAAAATAACCAAAGCAAAAATTCTAAAAGGCATAACAGATAAGTGCACAATTATTGAGAGATATTCAAAGTTAAGTGTAGAATACCATAAACATATTTCTTTCATTTATATTATAAAGAGCAGGAACTGCCTGGTTAATTAATTTACATAAAGTTACAGTTAAGTCAGGTACAGTAAGTATAACAAACCAAAAATACTCTCATATCATCTGTTACATTTAAAATAACATCAACTGTGGGGATCCTGTGGCTCAGTCTTTGGTGTCCAACTCTTAATTTCAGCATGGCATGATCTCAGGGTCATGAGTCATGAGATAGAGCCCATGTTGGCCTACTTGGGATTCTCTCTCTCCCTCTCCCTCTGCCCCCACTACTCACTCTCTCTCTAAAAAAAAATAAATAAAATATAATAATAACTTAAATATAAAAATCTTTGATGTGAATTAGTAACATAGCCTTGAAAGACATTTGAGAACAGCTATTAAATACAAAGACACTTGAAATAGTTCATAAATATTTGTCTCGAAATAAAAACATCAAAGTGCAATTTGCAGAAGCAGAAGCTCTTTAAATTAATGGCAGCTGACTTTGTATGATAAAGCAACACCAATGCTGCTGCCTGTTACAAACTACCCAGACTCACAATGAATTCGAAATTTACATAAAGTGACAGCTGAAAAAATTGTAAGAGTCTATTTTCACGATCTACATTAAATTTACATTTATTCAGCATATAATTATTAAAGAAAGAAAGGTGCAAAATCTGCAAACTGAAGAAATATATGATTTATGGGGTTTACCTATTTGCTTATTATTTTTCTTAAAAAAATGGCACATTAATTATCTACTTTATTTCATTTTAATTTTACTTTTTGTAAATATTATAACTAAACATTGGAACTCAGCCTCTAAACCTGATAACAAGGGAATAATTCCCCTATGTATCTTTCCTATTAGTTTCTGCATGTTTTACTGAATATGAGATATGAAACAATTCAAGCTATTGTATCTTTCTTCGGTCCTAGGATGAAGCAGTCCCCTTCAGTTTATTGTGGAAAAAAGTCTCACAGGAAAGTATACATAACACTGATGGTTATCAAATGGCCATCCCCAGATTTAAGACAGGAATATCTTAAAAGGTCCTGTAATAAAAGATCTTATATGTTATATAAAGATCTATAATAAAAGGCATAAACAACACCATCCCTGGCTCTGTCATAAAATGAAAAGATGTCTTTGGGTAGGCATTTGCCTCTCTGTGCTTCATTGCCTTTACTATAACATATTCCCTGTCGTATTCACCTCATAAAATATTGTAAGGCTTAAGTGAGATAAAGTATGAGAACATTTTTAAAAGAAAATATAAAAAACATTATTATAATAAAAAATGTGAAATCACTTAAATATTAAAATGTCTAAGATAAGACATTTCCTAATAGCCTAACATTTAAGGTTATTCAGAATTTAATATAAACTTTAGTTATAACAGAAAGTCGAAATCATATCTTATTGCCACTTCAAGCATTACTCAAATTATCTAATTTCATAGCCTGATAGAGCTATATATCAAGCCATTAGCACTGAGAGAAGTCTCCTCACTATTTTAATGATAAAATGACACTGCTGTTTAAATTTTTGTTTGTGAAAGTCTTCCCTCATATATTTCAACTTTTGAACTCCATCTCTACCTTGAAAACATCTCTACCTTGAAAAAATACTAAATCTTATCATTTTTATCTGCTGACACTTGTATAATAGTAATCTCATATACTGTATCCCAATACTCTTCATGAGAACAAAACTGATTGAGCAGAAGGAAGGTACAACATACATGGTAACAGTAACCAGCATAAACACAGTTGGTGGCCCAGGTTTATTTAAGAGAATCAGCATCTGTATTATGTTTTTATTCCAGTAAGCCTCTATTAATTTGCAAACACTTCTCAGTTTCTCAGACTGAATCCAAGTTCTGCAATAACACTGGCTTGCCAAACCCATGTGGAACAGGAATAACTTGCATAAACTACAGGCTCTTCTATCTGAAAACACAGCCCCTTTCCTAACCGTTTCAGTATCTCTGGAGCACATTATTTCTCTCTGTAATAGTATTTCTCTAGGTAGGAATACTTACAAAAGAAAACCATCAAGTACTATCTTGTTAGTCTGACTGCTTCTCTTTTTCTTCTATCAGCCAGATATTCTATGACATATTACATGATTTGACGATATGCCCCATTTTCTTTTTTTTTTTTTTTATCAAAAATAGATTTTAAATTAAAAAATCTAGACAAAGCTTAGGAGTTTGGTACATATATGTTTTAAATAAGGAGAAAGAGTTTTTTGTTTTTGAATTGAGGTTATCACTCGCATAAAGAGTCTAGTCAGTTGCCACTAGACATGTTTATCTGTACTCATTTTATTTTGTAGAAAATTGCATACTAGGTACAAATTTATCCAATCTACTTTGTGAGGCTATATGTGAGGCTGCCAAAGGATCCTGGGAGCTAGCGGAAGACTGCTGATAGTACTCCTGGAAGTTCCAGGCACCAACATGCTTCAGATGTTTCAAATAACTGTGCAGGAGCTTCTGGGAGCTGATGACTGGACAAATTTGCAGAATTTGGTTTACGGACTGATAAATCTAATGTGTAAGCACTGAAAAAAAGTACCCTGCATTAGTCACAGGTATGCTTGACAAGAAGACTGATCTATGTATGAATGAAAATCAAAAATTAAGACGAGCTAAGGGAATCTGCCCCAGCCTAAACCAAAGGATCCACTATAAAAATCACATGGGAATATATACTAAGAGAGAAAGAAGCAAAAATAATACTAAACGAATGTCTGTGTGGAAACAGTGGAATAGAAAGGAAAGAACAGCCCTCACTTGCTTTTAAACTAAGGAAAGTAGAATATTCATAACATAAAATTTGACTATTGGGAGGCAACCTAACGTAAGATTTAAATTATGTAGTGCAGAGTTAGAATGCCAGGGGTTGAATCTGCATTCCAGTACTCACTAGTTGTATGGCTTAATTCAAGTTGCTTACATGTGTGCCTCGATTTTCCTAATCAGAAAATGTGAACAGTAATACCTACTTCACAGGCTATGGTGAGTGCTGAATAATTGAAATATGCAAAGCTCTTATAACAGTGCCTGGCACTCAGGAGGGACTCAATATACATTAGTTAGTAGTAGTAGTAGTAGTAACAACAATATTAGCAATATCATGAACATGATCAAAAGAATGAGAAAAAAGAGTGAGAATTCTCTTTGCCCATCCTTTCAGAAGTAGTATAAATTCAGTATGTAGGTATTCAGGGGGTCGGAAGACAAGATCATCATCATGAATATATTTAATATTAATAATTGTATTACAAATTATAGTGTTTTATATTTAATAATCACAAATATATTTAGTAGAGTTTATGATCAGGAAGAGTCACACAGGATTTGACAATTGTCAAAACTCTGAACCATAGACTTAAGAGCTATGCATTTCATTCTGTATAAATTATACCCCATTTTCTCAAGGCAAAAGCAAACTGCTTGTGTACCTATCATTTGATTCCCTGACTAGTATCTTTCTCTTTTCCTAATTGTGTTCTCTATGGCAGAAACTTGGGTCTCCAGACTGTTTCTTATATATACATTGCCTCAGGGCCTGTGCATATGCTGTTTTCTCTGTGCACTGACATGGTCATGGCTCCCTGCTCTTATTTCCTTCAGTTCTTCCTTACTTCCTGCTCAAATGTCAAATCTTGGAGAGCTTTCCATCAACCTATGTAAAATAACACACATAACTCAGTCATTCTGTATTTCTTTAATTCATTTATCTTTATTCTTTGTACCTAATACCCCCAAAGATATTAAAAGATTAATCACTTTTTAT